AAACCGGGGGTGGGGTGGGGAGGAAGATATAACAACTATACTTTCATGAAGTTGTTACAACAAGCAAACGGAAAGGACATTCTTGGGGGGGAGGGGAGAGAGGGAGGAGGGAGGGAGGTGTCGGTGATGGGCCATAATAATCATATACAGTGTATATTGAAAAAAAAAAAATTTAACAAAAAAAAAAAAAAAAAGAATCAGAGCTTCTGACAGGCAAGTATATCTAAGCAAACATTTATTAAGATTAATTAATTTTCATTGTATTTGTTTTTGTGGTTATGTTCTATTTATGACAAATGATATTCCGTTTATAGAAGTTTATATAAAATTTCCCTTAAATATATTTATTTAAGAAAAAATGTGAATTGAGTAAGAAAACATTTTGTTTAAAAAATTAGGTAACATGACAAGGCCACATTATAAGTTTTGTAAATCCTGAGCATCTTATATTCTTGGGTTCCTTCTTCCATTAATGTATATGTATGTGTATATAAATATATATATAATGTTTTATGGCTACACTGGTGTAAAGATTAATTATCTTCAGTTCTGAAAGTTCATATTTTTCTTCTGATTTTAAAAGAAATTGAAACATTTTCATGGGTCCCTTTACTCGTCATGGGCCTTGGCACTGTGTCTACTATACCTAATGCATAGGCCAGTCGACCCTGGTATGTATTACAGGAAAACTTATAATATTAGATCTTCATGACAGAAGTTTGAGAAGCACTAATTTAATCCTCATTTTGCAAAGAATAATACTAAACTTCACAAATGGGCAAGAAACTGCAAGCCTCAGAGGAGGGACACAATCAGAACTAGGTCCCAGATGCCAGCTTCCTGATCTTTTCACTTAACTCCGCTGCTTTCTTCCTTTGAGCCTCTTCTCCAAAAGCCTTTTTCCCTGTCCCATCTGCTTCAGGGTTATCACATCATAATTAAATCAGATCCTTCCATGAATCCAGCCCTCCACTCAGGTCTGAGGACTGCTCACTGTGGAGGTGACACCACCTCATGGATGCCCTCTGCAGGATGCCCTTTGCCCTGGGATGCCAGTCAGTTCGTGGTGATAGTCACTCTGCTCCATCTCAGGGAACCCATCCAAACCCCGTTAAGAAAAATACAAAGCTTGAAAAAGACCAAGATAGGTTTGGTCTTCCCTTTGGGGACACAATCTTTCAAATACAGCTCCTCATCAAAATTATCAACAATGGACGATCAAGCTTGGGATAGGGTAACTACTTCCATCTGAGATCAGTACTTCCTAGCACAGAGTTTATATGGTAGATAAAAGGTTTACTCCTTGGGCTGCCAATGTTTCATCTTAGCACTTAAAAACAAGTCGAGGGCCGGCCCGGTGGCGCACTGGAGAGTGCGCCGCTTGGGAGCGCGGCGGCGCTCCCGCCAAGGGTTCGGATCCCATGTGGAGACCAGTTCCCGCTCACTGGCTGAGCGCGGTGCGGGTGCAACACCGAGGGTTGCGATCCCGTTGCCGGTCAGTAAAAAAGACAAAAAAGGAAAAAAAAAAATTTTTTTTTTAAAAAAGTCGAACCTTGTTTTTAACCTAGAAACTCAGCTGCTGGGGAATTCTTCTATTGACAATGTACTACAGGGAATAGTCTAATACAATTAAAAGCCCCAACTGGTGAACAGCCTTTATCTCTCTCTTTGTGTATCCAAAGTAGATCTATATCTACCTGAGAATACTGTAAGTTTTAAATGATATTTGTGTTTGGGGAAATAAAAGTAGATCATACTTGAGTCTGCTTTCAGCCATCTGTAACTGTCATCGTACCACTAGAAGGTTCTGACTTTATTCCAGTTTATGTTATTGTTTATTATTATGGAGATGATAATATCCCACAGGAAAGAATACATTTAGCAAAATTCATTTTTTACAGTGAAGACCTTTTTGTTTATTTTAAAGCCTAACCAAAAAATAACTCTAGCCCTTTAAAAAATAGTGTAAGTAATCTTCAATCATGCACTCCCACAGGTTTACTGATGCAAAAATTATTCATCTCATATCTTTCAAAAATGTAATCCTAATGCAGAAAAAGAGCATGGGATTTTGGAGGCAGACAGAACTGGTTTTGAATCCTCCTTCCAGACTTACTAGTTCTGTGATCTTGGGCAAGATAACTAACCCTTCTGAGCCTTTTTGTTTGTTTGTTTGTTTTCACCTCATCTGCAGAAGAGAGTTAATAATATCCACTTAGGGTATTGTTCTGAAGATTAAATTATCTCCACAAATATTTACTGAGTACCTTCTCTATGTGCTAGGCTCTTTTCTAAGTGCTGCAAATACTACCACAGTGAACAAAACATAAGATTGCCATTCTTGTGTAACTGGGGATCTTCACTGTAGTTGAATATTTTCCCCCTGGTTCTTAAGACATTAAAGCAGAGTGTCGCCTGGGAGTGGATTGGAACTGGGTTTCTTGTATAGTAGTTCTATAATAATTATCCTTCTTGCTGCTGGCGATATCAAGTTATAGCTACGATGCTAATTGTTACTTAGATATTCATCAGGATGATTCATATATTTTTACCCCTTTTTCAATTCAAAAAATATTAGTTGTCTGTAGGGCAACATTTATATTTGCAATAAATATTTTGCACTTTATTTATTTTTGTTGATATACACTATTCATCAGTAAACATAATTTGCATCAATTTTCAGAGGGAGAGATGTTAATTCTTTAGTGCATGAAAATTCTAAGTGATAAGCTATTACCTTGATATAGAAAAACCTTCTCCTGAGATTTGCCACTGGCCAAATTTACACATGCACAGGTAGCCATAACAACAACAAAAACACACTTTTGTCAGTGGCTATGTCACTGATGGAACAAGTAGCTCCTTTTTAGCAGTGATGATGCCAATGATGAAGTGATCTAAGAAAAGATCTTTCTTTTTCAAGTAGATTTCCTGCCTGGCATCATCAGAGTGCTTCCTGAGTCCTCCAGGCATGACATCTGATAATCCGCAAGTAAGCTAGATAATGATACCCAGATAACTAAGCATATTCAAATTGGTTATTTGAACTGATAGAAATTTATAGGAAAATGGATGATTTTCTACTCAGTTTGGAGCAATGAATGAAGACGTAGAGTTTAGACATTTCTTAATGTTAATGAGCCCAAATTAATATTATGTCATCTTTAACCCATACAGACCTTAAAAACCAGCATTATCTTCAGTGGAAAGGTTTGATTTGCAGGTGTTTCTATGTACAATTTGATAAGACATAGCCTTATTGCTAGCTATAAATTTTGATCTTACACTGTAAAACTATCATTGACATCTCAAGCTGTTGGTGAAATTCCAAGCTAATGTCATCTGAGATGACCAGATTATAATGAAAAACCAAGAGAATAGATCTTTAAAATGCATACTGTTTCTGTATTTGCACACCTGTACATTTTGCATAGTTCCCTTAAAAGCTAATTATACTATTTTAAAACTATAATAACAGAGAAGATAAAAGATGAGAAAATACAAAGCTACCCAACTGTGGAATCATTCACCTGAGTTTCTCAGAATGCTGCACTCTAATTACTAATGTATTGGCACTTATCTAGAGGAAAATGTTTGAGACAAAGAATGTCCAATTTCTTAATATTTCTTACAAAATCATGTCTTCCTATTTTTTTCTGTGAATATAAACAATAAGTTGCTCCCAAGAGCACGTTCACTTTGCTATCCCCAACACGTTTTTTGCCTATGAAGGCCTACCTGCCACACCTGGTTCCACTTTGCTAAAATACTTTCTACTGTTTGAAAATCGAAACATTAAATTTCCTGCCTTTTCCTTGAATATGCAAATAATACAGCAAGAGCAGCACAAAGATTCTTTCATGGCTGGTAAGGAGGTACCAATATAGTTCAAACCTGCTGAAGTGTCAGTTTTCAGTTCTGCCATCTTTCTACCCCAAAGAAAGTCTCCAGTGTTGGGAGGTAAATATATATCCTGATCCAGTTTTATCTGAGAGGCTCTTTGTCCCTTACACTTACCCACCAAATTTCAGAGTATTCGGATCTTTGAGGGGTTTAAAATTTTGACTTTCCTTCCTTCTTACTTATGGATGGGATAAATTTCATTTTCATCATGGTCCACTGAACGTAGTATCTAGTGTAGCCCCTGGATGGGAAAAACAAAAGGAATGTTCCACTCAGCATCTTGAGATTCTACCTTTAAATATTATACCTAAATCCACGCACTGCTGGTACAAACTGGCACAAACTTTCTGGAAGCTAATTTGGCATTGTTTCCTGACCTGCTGCTGGTACACACATAATTTGGGATTAGGTATCAGCAGCCTTAAAATCTTCATAGCCTTTGACTATAAGAAAATAATTTAACACTCAGACATAGAGTTCTATAAAAGATGTTCATCATGACATTTTTAATAATTGAAAAATTGAAGTTCTTTCACTACTAATGTCCAAGAACAGGAATTGGTTAAATAAATTTTGGTATATCCACATAATGGCATTTTAGGCAGCTGTGGTCAGGGCTGGATGTTCTAGAAGAATTTCTAAAATGACACATTGAAAACTCTCTTGTTTCAATATTGTGATAAAAATCCTAAAGGAAATTGCATGTACAGTATGATCTTAACTAAGTATAAACAATATGAACAAGGAGGAAAAAATATGGGACATATAACAAAATGTTAACAGTGGTTATTTTTATTCCTTTCTTATGTTCCAGTTTTTTTCTATACATGTTTCTATGTTATTGAAATTTTCTATAACGAACATAAAATGAAATAAAATAAAATTTCAAAAATTCAGATACAGTAGAAGAACACCAGTGGAGCAACGGATGCACGACATGTTTCCGTGTCCGTTCTACCACTTTGGTGAGCTATAGACTGCTTTCTGCTGTGGCACTTTCCTAGGAATGTATGCTGTGCATTGTCCTGCTGGAGAAAAAACAACTATAGAAAGGCGATGATAAGAATCTGTGTCACCTAGTCTCTGTTCTTTTTCAGCACACGACAGTTTTGCCCTTTATATTAATCGAGATGAGGACATCGCACCATCAGTATCCCAGCAGGAGCAGCGGACTCACGGCCATATGTATCTTCTCTGTTGGCTATATATTATGGTAAGGACTGTGCCTGCTGCGCTTTCATATTGTATTAGATTTTGCACTGCTAAATTTGGGCACATATTTCATTATGGCTATAATCACTAACAGATTCACACTGCGTGCCTCATTTGGTCCAAGACCTGGGCTTTGTCTCCTTTCCCCAGATGCTTATATTTTTAGAAAGTATATGCCAAACCTCACACAACAGGAATTTGTTGAACAATCCCATGTAAGCAGTGATTCTTCCAAGGCTACATTTTTCAACTCTTTTTCAAACTAAATGTTTTTCTTGGACATCAGTTTTATTGCTTAAGGGGTTTTTTGCTTGGGATTTTTTTGTTGTTGCTTTTGTTGGGGAGTGGGGGAGTTGCAACAAACAGAAATGACAACAGAAGAAATGACCTCTTAGATCAGTGACCTTAAACTTAACAGGAAACAAGTAAAAATGTACATTTTCCTTAGTCCATTTAAAACCTATTTCGGCATTAGCTGTTACATATAGAATGTATTTAACTGTATTATTTTTAATTGTTGGGGTAAATAAACCACACAAAATCTCCATTTTGGTCTTTTGAACACAGTTAAGTCCCAAGTAGGAGGTGCCAAATTGAACTGATAAAAAAGTTTTTGCAAGTTTGTTTCACATTAATTTCAGTTCTTATCTTATTTTTAACTCTTCAAAAGTTATTTATCTTAACTTACAGAATTTCTCTTTCCAATTCCAAATCCTCTTTGATATATTAACACACACAGAAAAGGTCCCTCCCGCCAGTGTTTCTGCCTCTTGGGACTCTTGTTCTGAGTTCGGGCCACCATCTCCTCCTTTAATCCCAGAGGACTGGGTAACATTCCTCCGAACACTGCACAACTGTATGTAATCCTGCCCACAGCCCGGAGCTCTCTGGGAGGCCCAGTCTCCATGGAGCATTTTGCTCCAGCCAGCCTAGGAATATAAAATAAAGGTCACTACAGTACTTCACATACTTTGCACAAACGATCACATAATGCCCCAAATCTGAGCAGAAAGGGAATCTGCTGCCAAGAAGTCACATCATGTGGCTGGATCCAAGGAAACATCCAGATGACAGACCCTAGAAAAAGCATGTGGTAAAGTTTATCCCATCTGCCACTCCATCAACCAGTGGAAGACCACAATGACTAGGTACTGGGGAGGAGTTTGTTTTCTTAATCATTTCCTAGGTTTTTGTCCCCCACCTCAAACCTCAAGTATTGACTTTTTCTGATAGAAAAGGTCAAAATGATCAGGAGTCACAGGTGAAATGTAACTGAAGTTATGTCTTAAAAATGAATTTATGTGCTTTCTACATATAAACTCAATTTTCAAATTACTGTTGCCTTTCAGAAAAGTCAGGTAGGGCACCTACACGATTACCAGGGATGCTACAATGTTTAAAACATAACTGGAATTGCTTTAGCACTGGTTTAAAAATGAACCTCTCAGACCCCCCCCCTCCACCCCAAATACAGTCTCATTACTTTGTTCTGATATTTACTTACCTGTGGGAAATGGAAGTTCTTCACTCTGGGAACTCTGGGTGCATTTCTGCAAATTCGTTTATATGCTATTAAATTTTTGTATCTTGTAGAGCCCCAGAGGTTTCAGGAACTATGTACTTTCGTTTGGCCTCTCTTCCACTGTGGTACAATCAGACCACGTTCCAAAGAGACTCATGGGAAATACCACATAGTCTTCACTATGGACCCCCAAGATCCCTCATTAAAATGAAGCATTCAACACCCTCTTCATGCCAAGTGAGGTTGCCAGCTCCGGGTGCTCTCTAGGCAGACCAGTACTTGTTTGGACATGTATTTGCATTAACCAGCGAATCCCCTCAGATTTGTTCTGAGAACACTTTCAAAGTAGACTTTTTCCTTTGGTGTCCTGCCCTGGGCATTTATAGCTATGCAAAGAGCTAAACAGTGCCCTTCACATCGTGTCACATTATGTAAATCCAAGGATTTTCTTGGTTATCAAAAAGATACTGGCTTTTCCTCCATTCCAGACTATCTCAGGGCCGACATACCAATGACACAACAGGGCAAGATTTGGGATATGAAATCTTTTGGTAGCATACCAGTGTTGTAACTGGACATTCCAGAACCTCATGCCAAGATGGAAGAAAGCATACCTCTTATCACATGTTAATTATAAAATAAATACATCCTTTACACAACTGAGTGTGGCTAAGCTAACTATCCCTCGGAGGCTGCTGGCCAGCCTGTGTGTCTGCTTTGCTCAGGGGGCTCTAACTTGCTCTCCAGTTTCACGAGTCCTTCCCCCCACCCCCCATCTATATCTGTTCTCTTCCTAGGATTGAATAGCAGAGCTGGGAAAGCAGGGGATGCCTGCACTTTTCTTCACTGACTGGTGCCCATTGAGCTCCCACCCTCCGTAGCTCTATTTCCCAGACCCATCTTAGTCCTCCCCAAGCCTAGCATCAGAAAGCCATCCCAGATTTCCTTCATGACCACTTCTGCCCACCCCACCCCCTGCCATCTTTCTGGTGTTTGGGACCCAAACATCCCCCTGTCCATTTGTGGGGAGTTCTTAATTCCTTCCCTGGACACCTCCCCTCCACTGTCATCCCCCTGCACGCTACATTTCTCTGCACGCTATGTGTGGGATCTCCCATAATAAATGAGAGGATCCATATTATCTCATTCTGGATGCAACACAGAAGTCCTTCAGTTTCTAATGAAACAGAAATTACCAGAAACCGTAACAAGTATCATTCTTTTGAGCCCAGACACTGTGACAAATGCTTTCAAATTCTTTTTTAGTTCCCCCAAACGTCCCTTTGAGATAGGCATTATCTTGCCCATTTTACAGAGAAGGAAGCTAAAGCTTAGAGAGATGATATGACTTGTCCAGGACAAGCCACTGGGCTGTCGCCAGAACTACAGTGCAAGCCCAGGTGTGTGGCTGCAGAATCCTATCCTAACCCTGCCCTCCACTGTCTATTACTGTGTGAACAGTAACTCTGTGGATGAACATATTAAGTGAGTTTTTAGCTTGGTTTTGATTGGTTAGAAGCACATCAGAAACCATTTCCTGGACTGGAGTTCTGGCTCCTCCACCTAATCTTTCTGGGCCTCAACTTATTCAGATGGAAAATAAGAAGGAGTTTAGTATAGACCCCACGGTGCAGTTGTAAGGATTCAGTTATTGTACACAAAGCCAGAGAACAATGCCTGGCTCACAGTAAAAAGTTTCTGTATTTGGGGCCGGCCCGGTGGCGCACTGGGTAGTGCGCCGCTTGGGAAGCGCGGTGGCGCTCCCGCCCGAGGGTTCGGATCCCACATACGGACCGGCTCCCGCTCACTGGCTGAGCGAGGCGCGGGAGCAACGCCGAGGTTTGCAATCCCGTTGCCGGTCCCTGGTCCGGTACGGGGGCAACACTGAGGGTTGTGATCCATTGCCGGACACGGAAAAAGACAAAAGACAAAAAAAAAAAAAAAGTTTCTGTATTTGCTATTATCAGTTCTGAGAAGCTCCTCAACAAGTAGTAGTAGGAGCACATAATGTTTTCAAAGGCTTGAGAATTTTAGTTATGTCATAGCTTCTTTCTCTCGCTTTTACTCATTCCGCTCACTTGTGCACTTTGCACTTTAAAAATCAAAAACAACTCTAAAGGACATGAAAACATCATTTTTATTGTTTTATAAGTACATAAGAACTACCAGGGACTCTTACAGGAGAGCTCGGGAAAACAGGGTTTTAAGATCACAGGATCCTGACTGCTGTCACCCTCTCGTTGACATATAATACAAGAGAAGATGTCTTCCCTCCCTGGGCTGCCCCCCGGCCCCCAGCACCTCTTGTCCTTATCTCCCTGCAGAGCTGCTGCTGCTCACTGCTCTGCTTTTCAATCTGCAGGACACATTAAGAGGAAACCTCCCAGACCCTAGGAAATTTACATCCCCGAGGGTTCAACACTGCCTCTCCTCTGTCCTGAAGAGTCTTCTTCCAGCCCCTGGCCACTCCTCCATCCCATGGTGGTTTCTCATTCGATCAGAGCCCACATGAGATCTCGGCAGCCATGCAAAATACATGCTGACTGCTAAATGCAAGACACAGTCAGGAGCAAGTAGGCATTGGTGAACAGGAGAAAATGGATCCTGGGAGTTTCTGATGGATAAATATTTCTTGTTACTGCTATGAGCCTATTTAAAGCAAAATAAAGATTCTGTTGTTTCAGGTCTCTTAACGGTTTTAGATAAATTCCATATTCCAAATGTCTTTACCCTAAATATGTTCACTGAATAACTTTCCAACACAGAAAATAAAAGTAAAATCAGGGTGAAGTATGATACAATCTTAAATTGTCTCAATATCAGAATTCTGTCTCCCACCAAATTTGATTCTCAGCCATGCAATTGTGCATTTTTTTGTTTTTTGGTTTTTTTTTCTTGTTGAAACTTTTCTGTATTTTCTCAGATTTCTGCTGGAAACATACATTATTTCTTTTCACATATTTTTAAGCACAGGGGAAGAAAATCTCAAAAATAAGAATGTACTTAAATTAAAAATTGGGGGGAAGAATTTTCAGCCATGAGTGAGTAAAATTTTTAGCGTAAAATTTTTACCCTCTTCAGTGAGAAGCTGAAGTTTAAGACCACACTGAAGTCCTCCCATTTAACTGGATGCTTCTTCACCAGTTAAACAAATCTGGGCAACATGTAGTTGTTCTTTGACCAATAGATAACATTTTCCTCTCTTCGGCTTGAACCTTTCACTCCACCAATAACTGCCTGTCCTGTGACTTCCATGTCTGTAATAGTCATGAAAGTTTTTCTGATCTTCTAGCGTAGGAGAACTGAGCCCAAGCTGAAAGGCTAAGGTGATAAGTCCCTCATTCTGAAGAGAGTGACCTTTCTTGGAGCTTGTAAGAGACAGCCCCAGACTCTGCTCCCTTTCCCATCACCACAGCCGTCCCCAGTCTTTGCCCATCCTCCCTACCCTCCTGCCTCAGCCTGGCTAAGGAAGAGGGAGA